TAACAACTTTGAGGCAAGCGAGACGGTACTGGGAAGAAGGAACTCTCCCAAGAGTGATGAATTACTCACAGTTTATGGGCTATGCTGATTAGAACATGAACTCCGCATGCTTCGCAGAACTCCTCTCAGCATTGTACTGAGTAGAATCGACCAAGGAGTGAGTAGTGTATAACCTAGCAACGAAGTATGAAACACTAACCAGTAAACTGAATCCAGTTGACGACTGTCGCTTCCCTGGATAGGGATCTTGGAACTCAACTCAACAATGTTTAATGGGACTGACTGAAATGGCCTAATCGCGCAGTGAGTGGCGTTGGCACATCAAAGCTATTGCCTTCAACGCGTAGCTAGCCATTTCCAAAAATAACTGAATCAGCCACTGTCTTCAATATTTGGCTGTATCTTCCACGTCCTTCTATATTCCTCTTACCGAAATTGTAGTAGCTGGAATCATCGCATCCTTGGTACTTGGTTTATAGCTGATAAACTGGCCTTCAACAAGTATAGCAGTAACCTAACGTGTTCATTAAAGAAACTCTTGGTCAAACGAAACTAATTTGATTCAAGCAGACAGTCGTCCGCAAACCGAACTGCCAGTTACACTGGATCTCACTGTCACACTTTGAATCGTCGAGTACACAGGGAATGAGCAGAGGGGATGTCCCAGGCGGTTTCATGGAAAATTTGTTAGATCCACCTTCGTTGGATGCGAATGCCTCGATTCGACAAGGGTTTTTCGTTCCAGTCAACAAGAACCAACCATTTAGCCGGATGGTGTAGTAGGGTGAGTACTGAAGTTATTTGTTCAGCTTGACTGTATCCAGGAAGGTTGTTTGAACCGCAGATAAAACTGTCATTCTGCAAAAGCAGATATCTCCAACGGATATAGTACTGTGATGTGTACCGTAAATACTTGACAGGTTTCACTTTAGTTGCGATTGTTTGTGGAATATCGTAGAATTCGCGTTCAGACTACCCTCGTTTGAACTAATCAAAAAAATTGCCCATCAGGTCTCAGGCGTTCATACCGTTACCTGAATGAGAGGTCCTGATAAGCTGGCCAATCGATCGACAGAGGCAGGACGCTTATTGGCTAAGCGTTCGAGGCGTCCGATAAGCCAATCACAACATGGCGCGAACACGATCGCCTATTCAGACTCAATGACTCAAGGACGTTCGGTGTGCGCAAATGGAGTAGCGGTACCACCCTCGCCCACACGTCAGATGTCCGGGGTTAATAACCCGTCACGGCCAAAGATATGTACTACCGATGAGCGCTGATAAGACCAAGACTCCGGTCTAGTGCTTTCCCCGTTTGGTATGGACTCATCAGAATATGATAGGAGCAGTGATATGAAAGTGAGTTTAGTTTGGTTTTAGAGAACTTCGGTTTCTTATTAAGACGGCATCATTATGAGTATTTCCTTTGATGTTTAAAACAGTGTAAGCTGTCCTTGATGCAACAAATCGCCATTTTTTGCTCAAGGGAAGGAAGAACTGAGCGGACGTAATGTTGTTACGAACTATATGGTATCCAACACTCTTGGCTCTCAATCTAGGCATAAATTCTCCACACTCAAAGCGTAAAATGGACAGTACCTAGAGAATTTCATTTACACCTGACAGAAAACGCTTTGTATTTTGGTTCATCAGATTTGTCTCTTTCAAACATCAATTTTCCACCTTAAAATACTGAAAATTTAACTCTTGCGAATGTTTTAACCACCCACACAAAAATAGAGAGCAGTGGAATATGGGGGCACTTCTTTTGAGGATTCAAACTTCAGACCTCTGACATACGAACTCAGCTCGTTAACATTTCTACACTTCGCATTCAGTGAGGAGTCCTGACAAGGCAGATTTTGGGCCCGGACAATCTACTCACATTCAAGATATGACTGATCAGCCACTGAAGTGGCTGTATGGTATCAGCGCATCCATTTTGCACGCCAGATGCGTTGAATTCAAGTTCAGGTAACGGTAAAAATGTAGTGTAACGAAAACGAAGCTGAATACCAGGCTTTTCAGCTCTTCAATTGCAGAACAAGAATATTCATGAAGTTAGAATTACACCAGTGAATATCTTGTGGATACGTGTGAATTACATTGGGTCCGGGAACAGATAGGCCTATCTACATACTCGCTATTCGTCCAACAGTAATTGAACGAGCACTTTGTCCAAAATAACTGTCTATTCATCAGTTGTTCAGGGGTTTATCTCGTAATCACCCAAATAACGACAGGAATAACAACAGGAATACTGGGTCGAAACTTTTGAAAGTGCGCATAGGAGTTTGATGCAAGGTACTGAAGGGACATCGTTGGCATGTTTATATGTTCTCTTACTAAGCGGAGTTCTTGGCGATATTTTAATTTCTCGTAAAGTATATCTAAAACATCACACGCACCATAAATACCCAAACGTCACTTAAGAAGTACTACTGGAGGTAACAGAATAGTTCTGTAGACTTAACGCACTACTCATTAGGTTGCTGAACACTCTTCGACAAACCGTGACTTGTTTTGCTCTTCTTGGGGTTCATCAGGTAGGCGCAGTCCCCAAATTCATCCCAACTGTACGTACTAATTGAAACAAAATTGCATGAAATTCGATAAATACACTCAACTGGATTTGCTTTCCAGCTACTTTGTGATTGGTATTATACCTGTACAGTACAATATGGTGCCAACGGAAACATGCGGCACATTCAGTCAAAGAGGAACATCACAGACAAGTGATTCAGTTGGGCTTCAAGTGAATCTTAAGTGAAATCGTTATGCAAATAGGGTTATTCGCGAAATATTTCTGCTTAGTTGGTATCGGTGACCAAAGCTAAGCTTCATAAATGGCATGTCAGTAGTGTGCCCTTCACCGAAACTTTTGGAATCTGAGTTTACCTACTATTTCGAGACTTATTGGATTTTATTGTATCACCACTGACAGAAACGCGGATTCCTGACCCCGGTTTTTTTTTCGAGCAACTGCCGAGCGGAGATGTCGAACCCTTCGTCACAATGCGGAACAATGGACCTTGTGGACTCATTATTACAGCGTCTAGATAACTTTGAATTATTTCATTTGAAGCAAGTTTTGATGTGAAAGCAAAGCTGTTTTTCCAAGTTTTGTGAACAATGGAGCACATTTGGACAAACAGACAAGGAATACAGCTATTCGATTGCACTGGTCTATTTGTTCATTGCGAAACAATGCCTAGTCACGTGATGTCTAGGTAAACTGAGTAAGGTGAATGATTCCGCTCGCTTATCCTCCATAATCACGAGCTTGTGGTTTATCGACGTACAGTCAGATATAAAACAAACGGAATTAAGTAAAATTCAAGAAGTTTGTTTATATCATCAACGGACTGACTACGACTGAACTACCCCGGATTACTGTGAACTCCACACGTTCAATTGACGGTAAAACAAGAGTGATCTTGGATCGTAACGTTATCGTTCACACCCAAGATACCATATTGTCCAAATCTATTCAATTGAAGAAGAACCTGAAGTTAACGGAAGCTTGGGGACTTCATCTACATAATGAGCCCCAGAAGGGCGAAACCGATCGTGGGCTGTCGAAGAGTTTTCAGCAAGCTTATGCGTAGTGTATTAGGTCTATGCTATGTACTCACTAATTATTTTCGTCGGGGATTCACCCGATTCCGTGTAAATTAGCTAGAATGAATAAGCAATCACATTATGTATGCCGCTTTTGTCAGAGACGCTTGTACTATGACAAGTGACTTTGAAAAGACGTGTTTTTGGGTACTTATTGATCCCCGAGACAGACTGACCGCCAAATTACTTGAATAAAAAGTCAAAAACTCCCAGCCTTGAACTTCACATCTACCACGATAAAATTATTCCCGTCAAACTGCATCACTGAATGATGATCATCGCACCCAGAAGAATCTGGAGGACGATCGAACCCTGAAATTGACTGTTACCAAGGCACGATGTCGAAAAAATACCTGGCCTACCGGAAATTTCATACAAAGTTCTTGTAACGTATAAGACGCTAGCGTAGTCCCAATTCGGTTCTTTACACTCACCGTGAAATTTGTTGAAAAATTTTGTGAAAAACTTTTGTAAACATGGTGTTCTGCTGAGATAACCCCCACTGAAGCAACCAGAGGCAGTTCGTTTCACTTAGATGTTTGCTGTGCCTTATTTTTATGGCAGTTTTACTGAGAAATATTGATTTTCGCACTTACCGGCATAAACTAATCGATTGTCGATAATAAAAGGAAATTGGAAGTTTCAATCGAGATATTATCCTGTAATGACGCCAACGTGTCCCGAAAACCTCAGAAGCACTGTACAGCTGTTTCAACGTCATTTGGAATTATCGGGTTCGCGCCAGGGCGACTCGAACCCGCGACCACCAGGGTGGTAGTTGAAGGGTACGGGCAGCTAATCAGCATCTTGAGATCGAAACTGATTGAAACACTCATACTATTAAAAAAATGTAAGTAGCTCAGTAAGGGAACGAGAAATGACGAGTGTAACTCATCCGAGCATGCGTCACGTGAGGAACCAGTAAACCGGTGTACCTACGTGAAGAGAATTCAGTGACTGGAAGATATGTGGTACTATATCCTGTCTAAATGCCAGTTAGTCGCCCTAATGACTAGCTGGTGGGGTTCAAACGGTTCAGCCTTCCACTGCGGCGGATGACAGTTAGTGCGTCCCACAAACGGAGCAATTTCGAATCGATCAAATCAGTCGTTTATTGTCGGACTGTGTGACCGTCTTGTAAATAAACGGTGATGCATATTGTGGTTCTTAATTCGTAAGAAATCTCCCAGTATTCACTTTTTTCCCTTTGTATTAAGATTTTCTTCCACATAAGAAAATCTTTCGTCAACTTATGGGCCTTTTTAGTTTCACCGAGAATACCATGCAGTACGAAATGCTTTAGACGTCCCATGCCTAACTGGGAAATCAGCTATCATCACTGAAGGGGAGCGTTTTGTGGGCGAATTCAATTCACTAACCTGTTCCATCACCGTGAGTCGATAACTCCTGGCGGATTTGGGCGGTTGCACATTGAACCGGACGGTGAAATTGTGTAAAAGTTGGTAGATTGGAGAGATTGCAGTCGTCGATGTATTCCACACGAGTTCACCAACCGGAAGTCTGTGTGTAATCACATCGAAAGACAAGTTTGGAGACGAGTTTAGAACCCGTTGACGAAACTGTTCAATCAAGATCTTGTCTTGCCAAGGGAGGCGCATATCGGTACCGGGCATAGCCACGAAACGACTGAATATTTTTTTTGCCTCAGCTGCTTGAGGACAGACTGTGATTCCGGGGATCTGATCGTAGACCATATAACGTCCAGAATAGTCCAGCTGAAAAACTGTTTGATGTTTGCAATACTGGATAACCACAAGTGTGATGCAAACACACAGTACCATGAACATAGTGGCCGTAAACACAGCCCATAACAGCCTCAGGGGTCTGGTTGGGGCATTGGCAATTTTGGCCAGAGGAACTAATGAACTTTGAGAAAATACTGACAGGAAACCCATCATTTCATACACGAGAATTTGTGCAGTAAATTAGAAGAAACTGTGGGATGCAGGGTTAAATACATTCTTAAATTGGGTTCCTGTCACCTGATTGGTTGAGTGAGATGGCCAATGAAATAATTCCTGTGCGTTTGTTTCACATGCACTATCGGCATGAAAAATGAATTATGAAGAGAATGCAATTTTGATTTAATTATTTTGTTATTCATTACATCAGTGAGCATTAGACAAGAAGGCGAGTGGGCAACGGCATTGGTGACCGCTTCAATTGGTTCATCAATAATATGAACTGAGGATGTCAATGCGGGTATGGCTGGGGTTGTGCGCTCAGCACAGCATGTGTGTGGAGAGGGAGATGAACCAGACTATGGGTCGTGCTCTTCACTTTGCGTCACCGCGTTCTACTTGAACCCAAATCAGCCAGAATTCACCAACTACTCTCATTTGCATACGAGAGACTCAAGCGAACTAGCTGAATCTCTCGTTTATGATGTATGGCTACTGTGTCTGTCAGACTAGGGGAACACAGACGATTAATTCTGGGACAGGTTGAAATTATTGCCCCAAGGAGGGCTTTGTTCAGGCTGGTGTGCAGCTTTCTGTTCAGTAGGTCGACCGGCACATCACTCTTGAATGGGAGGCTAATCTAAAAACTGTGGTGGTGCTCAAAATGAATTCTTTCCTGTTTATATGCTTCTTAAAAAATTATCAGGAAACCCGTTGTCCCTCAGAAAGTAGGTGCGGGATGAGAGTTCCTGTTTCAGCGAATCGTCAGAGCATATTCTCCTCGCTGAGGACGAAGTCCGGAGACTCAGATACTTTAAAAACGTAGAGCGATGATTATTTTTAGCTACTTACAAAAGCTGAGTAGTTCCCATTTGAGAATTCCCAGTTGACGAAGGCCCCAGAGACGGACTCTGAACCATATAGTAGTTTGGTTCGTTAATTTATGGCGTGAAGCCACTGCTAAAAATTACGTGTGAGTTAGAATCCTCGTGCGCTTCTTCAGCTTTGTTTCCCCTATTATTTCGAGCCTCAAACTCTGAAGGACCAAAGACTCCTGTCAAACTCCACTCCATCATACAATGGCATTGATCGGTTACCAAATGGATGACTGATTTGCTTGTTTGGTTCTTTGGTAACTTATGTTTTGGTAGATGATGTTTGTAGAAAGGGGAAAAACTTACATTTAGATCTTACAGGACTGAACCGAACAACGCTGACCGTGCCGCAGCGAAAAACTTAGAAATTTGGGAAGGCTTCGATTGGGCAGGGATTTGAAATAAGAGGCTCAAGCAGGCATAACATAAAGCGAAATCCAAGTCCGAGAGTAAGCGTGCAGCATTAAGTTCCAGCTGAACTAGTGAGGACGCGTGTTCTTTTTCACATCTATTAACTTGGGATTCACACGTGGGTTGTCACTTCCCGGACCAACGGAATGCCAAAGGGAGGCCTGTTCCTAATGACAGTAGTTAGCTGGTGTTACGATGGTGAGGTTCTGGAAACTAACTCGGGAATGTCCAAAACATGTTGAGAAGCATCAATTCCGTCAGCATGCACTTCAGGAAGGCCTTCGAGTCCATGGTCTAGAAAAGACACCTATCGACTGGTCGTCCAATCAGCCGATCAGTGTCAACTGTCAGGCCCGACCTTGAAGAGATGTCTACCAGTCACTCATTATCGACCGGCTAGCCATGGTTTTAGGTCAATAGTGTTTATTCTCCCACTCAATCGGTGAAGTAATTTTCCCTATGGCAGTTTTAGCTACCAATGCTATCTTACTTTGCTTGATATTAATGAGCATGCCGAAGATGTACGAACGTCTGTCCTTGCAATATTGTGAGACCAATCCTTGAGTAGAAATTCGCTAAACCATTCGGATTGACCACCTTGCCGGAGATCAGTCACACCTTGTAGTAGCTGCTTCGGCGTGTCAGAGAGTTTGCGCGTGTGCGTGTCCGTTCGTCGTTCCACCATCCATCTGGCATGTGACTTGAGTGGCTGATTGGATGTGTGTCCGATTGGTTGGCTCGCGTGAGCGCTGTGAGTTGACTGGATATGTGACCCAGTTGTTTTGCCTACCTGCCACGAAAGCGGACCAGTTGGCCGCGTGTACCCAATACACCCGTGTCCGTACTCACGTGTTCTTCTGACTTACTGTGAATTACAATACACCTGCTAATAATTCTTGTATTACACTGTAATCACTGATGTAGTCGGACAGCTCGGAGCTTGCTTAGTTTGGAGATATGCACGCCATCTATTCTGTTAGAGCTAGACGAAGTTCCGATTAGCTTTGATGTCAACCCGATGTATACCAATGTCCCCAAAACGGATGCTTTGGAAGTAGCGGGAAGGCTTTCACTGGCAGACACAACGCCGCAAGAACGAACGCGACTCTTCGTAGACAGGATAGCTGAAGGCATGAAAATACGTCCAAATCTTAGTCACTTTATTTTCGACGCAATTATATACTCTCAAGAACAAGGCCTAGCGATGGTATCTCCAGTACCCCCGATTGTTGCCAATATGTACATGAAAGACTTTGAACAGAACGTTTAAGAAGGATTCGATTTCCCAGCGAGTATTTTTTGGCGTCACGTGGATACGCTGGTTGTACTTAAGCTTGATAATCGTGACGAATTCTTTCAATCTCCCAAAATGTTGGACCCTCACATTAAGTTTAGATTACTCATGAGCACACCCAAATGTATTATATGATCGTATAGATTTAGCAGTGTTTCGTAAAGTAAAAGCCCTGTGCATAGAGGATGTCGACCGAAGAGCAACACAACTTGCGGTAAAAAAGCGACTTCAAGCTAGTGGATATCCAGTGAAAGTAATTAATTGGCCACTAAGACGAGTATCAGTCCTAACACCAAGAACTAACACGAACCGCGTCGGGGACATCCCTTACGGAGCAGGGACATCTTAAGTCATTAGAAGGGTACTGAATACGGTCAACATTAGAGTAGCATTCCAGAAGGGAAGACTTTACGCTCGGTGTTCGTGCATTTGAACGATCGCCTTCTGGTTTGATAGGATTCAAGATTGTGTATACACAATAAAATGCAACGACTATACTAAGGTTTATATAGGTTAGACAGCCAGGGAATTGTACATCAGAATCGGTGAGCATAAACGTTCCATTAACAGACCACCGAGAAACGTAGATGAATATCAGGCGACAGCGAAGCATTCGGCAATGACAGGACGTGCACTAGACATTGGGAACAGGATAGATTTGGAAATATGGACATGCGGAGACGCGAACTAAGATTCACACCACAGTAGCTGGTAGCCGAGGCGGTGGAAATTGCCACGCATCCAAGCATGAGTAGAATAGACAGCGTAGAACTGGCAGGCTTGTGGAGAGCTGTTTTAGATCAGCAGAGATGACATGAGGCGGTGTGCAGTTATCAGCGAAATGGTCTGGGTTCAAAAGTGCGAAATTTGAGGATCCATTTGATTCTCCCAACCCAAATCCAGTTGTCATGGCACCCCTGAACGCACACAGATCAACTGAAATCTGTGAAAGATGGATGGATATCTGTTAAGTGTCCTAGAATGGAAAAGCAAGGCCTCAGGTTCCGAATTCAACTTGATGAAAAACTCTCCTAACCAATCTATCATAGGTGATGGTCAATCCCACCAACCAAAAACAAACAGGAACTTTCAGACCGACGCCCAGCACTAATCAAGTCGGCTAGTCATTAGAAACATCACCGATTGATTATCTGACTAACTTAAAACTCTGTGAACCTGGTAACTTATTCGCTTGGCCTGACGAAGCTTCTGTGTCAAAAGCGAGAGGTTGCCCTTCGATCAATGTACCGATTGCTTATCAAAACTCTCTGAAACAAATATGCCCCTCTTTTTAATTCGCGTAACGAAATGCATAATATCCTTCACAGTTGGCTCAATATTCGCTTGCCTGACGAAGCTTCTGTGTCAAAAGCGAGAGGTTGTCCTTCGATCGATGTACCGATTGCTTATCAAAACTCTCTGAAACAAATATGCCCCTCTTTTTAATTCGCGTAACGAAATGCATAATATCCTTCACAGTTGGCTCAAAGTTTTTCACCAGGGTAGCTTATGATACATAGTATTTTCGAAGCACACCACTAGATTATTCGTGAACTATACCGGTTAGCACACTAATAGGATTTTAATGCGAGACCCAACTGAGTCCTAGCTGAATCTCTCGTTTGTGCTAGTCCCCATCAACTGAATGTTCTGCACAAACGCAGAGAGATCGCAGTGTAATTTTCTTCTCACAATGTGACCTTGTGGCAATAACCTCGAATTCACAAACAGCTTGGATAGCACTGAGTTTCAGAAAGATGATCGGTTAGCTACACATCAGTTCATATAGGTTTCACTGCCCGCCGCAACCACGTCACTTACTTGGTTTACCTCATGACTCGCCCACACAGTTGTGCACAACATCGTCAACCGATGGGTTAGTCTGAGATTTGGCCTGGTTCAACACGCCTGTCAATCGGTTTACTTGGGTCATCCAAGAAGTCAAAGGAGATATGTTCGGACCTCTCATGTCTACGATATTAACTGAGGACTGCTCATTCCACAGCGCTTAACTTATTTAGTACGCATGGCCCCGGGACATCAAGCGACCGTAGCAAGATCTACGCAGTTTACTGGTAACCAGGGCATAATGCAACGTTTGAAGCGAGTGACTGACAGTTCGTTGACTATGTCATGCTATTGACATTTGACATGAGGGCGGAAACCCGGAACCCCATGCGGGAAAACATATAAAATCGCAAGAGCCTTTGAAGAATCCATGTGGAATCTCTATAATGTATTGGTGGTTCTTCCCGTTTCTCTTAGATCAAATCAAACCAAAGAGATATTGTTCAAGCGAATCTGTTACACACAGGGAAAATAATCCCTGTCTGAGCATCACATACATGGGTCCAATGATACTTCAGAAAAGGAGTCTGTTTGCCTCAGCAGATTCAACTGTAGTCTGCCCGATTCAACACACAAAAGCAGGAGAAAGTTCAACATAAAATGAGAATTTCCTCATGATGAGAACAGTTAGAATAAATAATCACACAGATTAATAGATATTCTCAGCAAATTCAACACTCTGTTCACATATTTTTTCAATATCTTAGCCCTGGCTGTAAAGTAAAACACTGAGCGGCATAACCGCACAAATTTTTTCAATATCAGCTTCATTTGACGCCGACGTCCACAACGAAGATCACATTGACACGGCTTGCCCAAATGAGGCTGACCAAACAAGCCATCTGGAATGGAAACATTCCGGAGGATCAAGTCCAAAGGAGCGGTGAACCGAACACCCCTGGTCGAAGTGGAATCAGATGGAAAATCAGACAACCTAGAAACTTCAGATGTAAACTGTGATAACACTGTAGAGATTGCTGAAAAGTGCGAAGGAGAAAAAGTATAGTTAAAAGGTGCAGAAGTACAAATATCGACACTGTGAGAAACGGCAGGAGAGAGCCTCGTTTCCAGATCGAAAGTAATGTTATCAGACGGAAATTCGGTTGCCGTCGGAAGCGAACTGCTAGTCGGTTCAGTTGCATTCGATACGTGGTCGGACTGGGGAGTGTCAGTCAGGAGCGTGCCAACCGTCTCAGTAACTGAGTGTGATGTGGTGTTCCGGTCTGTAGACACAGTTTGTTCCGGTGTGAATTCATCGGTTTCCACAGTGTCTGTCATGTTATCCGGTGGAAACTCGGCTCGGTTGCCAAGCGAACTGCTAGTCGGTTCAGTTGCATTCGATACGTGGTCGGACTGGGGAGTGTCAGTCAGGAGCGTGCCAACCGTCTCGTCTCCTGAGTGTGATGTGGTGTTCCGGTCTGTAGACACAGTTTGTTCCGGTGTGAATTCATCGGTTTCCACAGTGTCTGTCATGTTATCCGGTGGAAACTCGGTTGTCGTCGGTAGCGAACTGCTAGTCGGTTCAGTTGCATTCGATACGTGGTCGGACTGGGGAGTGTCAGTCAGGAGCGTGCCAACCGTCTCAGTGATCTCGTGTGTGGTCGACTCATTCTTCACGGTAGTGGTTGTTTCGGTTGCAGGTGCAGGTGTGGATGAGTTGAGCAATACCTCAGTCGGTGTGCTCCATTCATCCGTCGATTGTGTTGCTTCTGTGTCCGTTTGTTCCGGTGTGAATTCATCGGTTTCCACAGTGTCTGTCATGTTATCCGGTGGAAACCCGGTTGTCGTCGGTAGCGAACTGCTAGTCGGTTCAGTTGCATTCGATACGTGGTCGGACTGGGGAGTGTCAGTCAGGAGCGTGCCAACCGTCTCAGTGATCTCGTGTGTGGTCGACTCATTCTTCACGGTAGTGGGTGTTTCGGTTGCAGGTGCAGGTGTGGATGAGTTGAGCAATACCTCAGTCGGTGTACTCCATTCATCCGTCGATTGTGTTGCTTCTGTGTCCGTTTGTTCCGGTGTGAATTCATCGGTTTCCACAGTGTCTGTCATGTTATCCGGTGGAAACTCGGTTGTCGTCGGGAGCGAACTGCTAGTCGGTTCAGTTGCATTCGATACGTGGTCGGACTGGGGAGTGTCAGTCAGGAGCGTGCCAACCGTCTCAGTGATCTCGTGTGTGGTCGACTCATTCTTCACGGTAGTGGTTGTTTCGGTTGCAGGTGCAGGTGTGGATGAGTTGAGCAATACCTCAGTCGGTGTACTCCATTCATCCGTCGATTGTGTTGCTTCTGTGTCCGTTTGTTCCGGTGTGAATTCATCGGTTTCCACAGTGTCTGTCATGTTATCCGGTGGAAACTCGGTTGTCGTCGGGAGCGAACTGCTAGTCGGTTCAGTTGCATTCGATACGTGGTCGGACTGGGGAGTGTCAGTCAGGAGCGTGCCAACCGTCTCAGTGATCTCGTGTGTGGTCGACTCATTCTTCACGGTAGTGGTTGTTTCGGTTGCAGGTGCAGGTGTGGATGAGTTGAGCAATACCTCAGTCGGTGTACTCCATTCATCCGTCGATTGTGTTGCTTCTGTGTCCGTTTGTTCCGGTGTGAATTCATCGGTTTCCACAGTGTCTGTCATGTTATCCGGTGGAAACTCGGTTGTCGTCGGGAGCGAACTGCTAGTCGGTTCAGTTGCATTCGATACGTGGTCGGACTGGGGAGTGTCAGTCAGGAGCGTGCCAACCGTCTCAGTGATCTCGTGTGTGGTCGACTCATTCTTCACGGTAGTGGTTGTTTCGGTTGCAGGTGCAGGTGTGGATGAGTTGAGCAATACCTCAGTCGGTGTACTCCATTCATCCGTCGATTGTGTTGCTTCTGTGTCCGTTTGTTCCGGTGTGAATTCATCGGTTTCCACAGTGTCTGTCATGTTATCCGGTGGAAACTCGGTTGTCGTCGGGAGCGAACTGCTAGTCGGTTCAGTTGCATTCGATACGTGGTCGGACTGGGGAGTGTCAGTCAGGAGCGTGCCAACCGTCTCAGTGATCTCGTGTGTGGTCGACTCATTCTTCACGGTAGTGGTTGTTTCGGTTGCAGGTGCAGGTGTGGATGAGTTGAGCAATACCTCAGTCGGTGTACTCCATTCATCCGTCGATTGTGTTGCTTCTGTGTCCGTTTGTTCCGGTGTGAATTCATCGGTTTCCACAGTGTCTGTCATGTTATCCGGTGGAAACTCGGTTGTCGTCGGGAGCGAACTGCTAGTCGGTTCAGTTGCATTCGATACGTGGTCGGACTGGGGAGTGTCAGTCAGGAGCGTGCCAACCGTCTCAGTGATCTCGTGTGTGGTCGACTCATTCTTCACGGTAGTGGTTGTTTCGGTTGCAGGTGCAGGTGTGGATGAGTTGAGCAATACCTCAGTCGGTGTACTCCATTCATCCGTCGATTGTGTTGCTTCTGTGTCCGTTTGTTCCGGTGTGAATTCATCGGTTTCCACAGTGTCTGTCATGTTATCCGGTGGAAACTCGGTTGTCGTCGGGAGCGAACTGCTAGTCGGTTCAGTTGCATTCGATACGTGGTCGGACTGGGGAGTGTCAGTCAGGAGCGTGCCAACCGTCTCAGTGATCTCGTGTGTGGTCGACTCATTCTTCACGGTAGTGGTTGTTTCGGTTGCAGGTGCAGGTGTGGATGAGTTGAGCAATACCTCAGTCGGTGTACTCCATTCATCCGTCGATTGTGTTGCTTCTGTGTCCGTTTGTTCCGGTGTGAATTCATCGGTTTCCACAGTGTCTGTCATGTTATCCGGTGGAAACTCGGTTGTCGTCGGGAGCGAACTGCTAGTCGGTTCAGTTGCATTCGATACGTGGTCGGACTGGGGAGTGTCAGTCAGGAGCGTGCCAACCGTCTCAGTGATCTCGTGTGTGGTCGACTCATTCTTCACGGTAGTGGTTGTTTCGGTTGCAGGTGCAGGTGTGGATGAGTTGAGCAATACCTCAGTCGGTGTACTCCATTCATCCGTCGATTGTGTTGCTTCTGTGTCCGTTTGTTCCGGTGTGAATTCATCGGTTTCCACAGTGTCTGTCATGTTATCCGGTGGAAACTCGGTTGTCGTCGGGAGCGAACTGCTAGTCGGTTCAGTTGCATTCGATACGTGGTCGGACTGGGGAGTGTCAGTCAGGAGCGTGCCAACCGTCTCAGTGATCTCGTGTGTGGTCGACTCATTCTTCACGGTAGTGGTTGTTTCGGTTGCAGGTGCAGGTGTGGATGAGTTGAGCAATACCTCAGTCGGTGTACTCCATTCATCCGTCGATTGTGTTGCTTCTGTGTCCGTTTGTTCCGGTGTGAATTCATCGGTTTCCACAGTGTCTGTCATGTTATCCGGTGGAAACTCGGTTGTCGTCGGGAGCGAACTGCTAGTCGGTTCAGTTGCATTCGATACGTGGTCGGACTGGGGAGTGTCAGTCAGGAGCGTGCCAACCGTCTCAGTGATCTCGTGTGTGGTCGACTCATTCTTCACGGTAGTGGTTGTTTCGGTTGCAGGTGCAGGTGTGGATGAGTTGAGCAATACCTCAGTCGGTGTACTCCATTCATCCGTCGATTGTGTTGCTTCTGTGTCCGTTTGTTCCGGTGTGAATTCATCGGTTTCCACAGTGTCTGTCATGTTATCCGGTGGAAACTCGGTTGTCGTCGGGAGCGAACTGCTAGTCGGTTCAGTTGCATTCGATACGTGGTCGGACTGGGGAGTGTCAGTCAGGAGCGTGCCAACCGTCTCAGTGATCTCGTGTGTGGTCGACTCATTCTTCACGGTAGTGGTTGTTTCGGTTGCAGGTGCAGGTGTGGATGAGTTGAGCAATACCTCAGTCGGTGTACTCCATTCATCCGTCGATTGTGTTGCTTCTGTGTCCGTTTGTTCCGGTGTGAATTCATCGGTTTCCACAGTGTCTGTCATGTTATCCGGTGGAAACTCGGTTGTCGTCGGGAGCGAACTGCTAGTCGGTTCAGTTGCATTCGATACGTGGTCGGACTGGGGAGTGTCAGTCAGGAGCGTGCCAACCGTCTCAGTGATCTCGTGTGTGGTCGACTCATTCTTCACGGTAGTGGTTGTTTCGGTTGCAGGTGCAGGTGTGGATGAGTTGAGCAATACCTCAGTCGGTGTACTCCATTCATCCGTCGATTGTGTTGCTTCTGTGTCCGTTTGTTCCGGTGTGAATTCATCGGTTTCCACAGTGTCTGTCATGTTATCCGGTGGAAACTCGGTTGTCGTCGGGAGCGAACTGCTAGTCGGTTCAGTTGCATTCGATACGTGGTCGGACTGGGGAGTGTCAGTCAGGAGCGTGCCAACCGTCTCAGTGATCTCGTGTGTGGTCGACTCATTCTTCACGGTAGTGGTTGTTTCGGTTGCAGGTGCAGGTGTGGATGAGTTGAGCAATACCTCAGTCGGTGTACTCCATTCATCCGTCGATTGTGTTGCTTCTGTGTCCGTTTGTTCCGGTGTGAATTCATCGGTTTCCACAGTGTCTGTCATGTTATCCGGTGGAAACTCGGTTGTCGTCGGGAGCGAACTGCTAGTCGGTTCAGTTGCATTCGATACGTGGTCGGACTGGGGAGTGTCAGTCAGGAGCGTGCCAACCGTCTCAGTGATCTCGTGTGTGGTCGACTCATTCTTCACGGTAGTGGTTGTTTCGGTTGCAGGTGCAGGTGTGGATGAGTTGAGCAATACCTCAGTCGGTGTACTCCATTCATCCGTCGATTGTGTTGCTTCTGTGTCCGTTTGTTCCGGTGTGAATTCATCGGTTTCCACAGTGTCTGTCATGTTATCCGGTGGAAACTCGGTTGTCGTCGGGAGCGAACTGCTAGTCGGTTCAGTTGCATTCGATACGTGGTCGGACTGGGGAGTGTCAGTCAGGAGCGTGCCAACCGTCTCAGTGATCTCGTGTGTGGTCGACTCATTCTTCACGGTAGTGGTTGTTTCGGTTGCAGGTGCAGGTGTGGATGAGTTGAGCAATACCTCAGTCGGTGTACTCCATTCATCCGTCGATTGTGTTGCTTCTGTGTCCGTTTGTTCCGGTGTGAATTCATCGGTTTCCACAGTGTCTGTCATGTTATCCGGTGGAAACTCGGTTGTCGTCGGGAGCGAACTGCTAGTCGGTTCAGTTGCATTCGATACGTGGTCGGACTGGGGAGTGTCAGTCAGGAGCGTGCCAACCGTCTCAGTGATCTCGTGTGTGGTCGACTCATTCTTCACGGTAGTGGTTGTTTCGGTTGCAGGTGCAGGTGTGGATGAGTTGAGCAATACCTCAGTCGGTGTACTCCATTCATCCGTCGATTGTGTTGCTTCTGTGTCCGTTTGTTCCGGTGTGAATTCATCGGTTTCCACAGTGTCTGTCATGTTATCCGGTGGAAACTCGGTTGTCGTCGGGAGCGAACTGCTAGTCGGTTCAGTTGCATTCGATACGTGGTCGGACTGGGGAGTGTCAGTCAGGAGCGTGCCAACCGTCTCAGTGATCTCGTGTGTGGTCGACTCATTCTTCACGGTAGTGGTTGTTTCGGTTGCAGGTGCAGGTGTGGATGAGTTGAGCAATACCTCAGTCGGTGTACTCCATTCATCCGTCGATTGTGTTGCTTCTGTGTCCGTTTGTTCCGGTGTGAATTCATCGGTTTCCACAGTGTCTGTCATGTTATCCGGTGGAAACTCGGTTGTCGTCGGGAGCGAACTGCTAGTCGGTTCAGTTGCATTCGATACGTGGTCGGACTGGGGAGTGTCAGTCAGGAGCGTGCCAACCGTCTCAGTGATCTCGTGTGTGGTCGACTCATTCTTCACGGTAGTGGTTGTTTCGGTTGCAGGTGCAGGTGTGGATGAGTTGAGCAATACCTCAGTCGGTGTACTCCATTCATCCGTCGATTGTGTTGCTTCTGTGTCCGTTTGTTCCGGTGTGAATTCATCGGTTTCCACAGTGTCTGTCATGTTATCCGGTGGAAACTCGGTTGTCGTCGGGAGCGAACTGCTAGTCGGTTCAGTTGCATTCGATACGTGGTCGGACTGGGGAGTGTCAGTCAGGAGCGTGCCAACCGTCTCAGTGATCTCGTGTGTGGTCGACTCATTCTTCACGGTAGTGGTTGTTTCGGTTGCAGGTGCAGGTGTGGATGAGTTGAGCAATACCTCAGTCGGTGTACTCCATTCATCCGTCGATTGTGTTGCTTCTGTGTCCGTTTGTTCCGGTGTGAATTCATCGGTTTCCACAGTGTCTGTCATGTTATCCGGTGGAAACTCGGTTGTCGTCGGGAGCGAACTGCTAGTCGGTTCAGTTGCATTCGATACGTGGTCGGACTGGGGAGTGTCAGTCAGGAGCGTGCCAACCGTCTCAGTGATCTCGTGTGTGGTCGACTCATTCTTCACGGTAGTGGTTGTTTCGGTTGCAGGTGCAGGTGTGGATGAGTTGAGCAATACCTCAGTCGGTGTACTCCATTCATCCGTCGATTGTGTTGCTTCTGTGTCCGTTTGTTCCGGTGTGAATTCATCGGTTTCCACAGTGTCTGTCATGTTATCCGGTGGAAACTCGGTTGTCGTCGGGAGCGAACTGCTAGTCGGTTCAGTTGCATTCGATACGTGGTCGGACTGGGGAGTGTCAGTCAGGAGCGTGCCAACCGTCTCAGTGATCTCGTGTGTGGTCGACTCATTCTTCACGGTAGTGGTTGTTTCGGTTGCAGGTGCAGGTGTGGATGAGTTGAGCAATACCTCAGTCGGTGTACTCCATTCATCCGTCGATTGTGTTGCTTCTGTGTCCGTTTGTTCCGGTGTGAATTCATCGGTTTCCACAGTGTCTGTCATGTTATCCGGTGGAAACTCGGTTGTCGTCGGGAGCGAACTGCTAGTCGGTTCAGTTGCATTCGATACGTGGTCGGACTGGGGAGTGTCAGTCAGGAGCGTGCCAACCGTCTCAGTGATCTCGTGTGTGGTCGACTCATTCTTCACGGTAGTGGTTGTTTCGGTTGCAGGTGCAGGTGTGGATGAGTTGAGCAATACCTCAGTCGGTGTACTCCATTCATCCGTCGATTGTGTTGCTTCTGTGTCCGTTTGTTCCGGTGTGAATTCATCGGTTTCCACAGTGTCTGTCATGTTATCCGGTGGAAACTCGGTTGTCGTCGGGAGCGAACTGCTAGTCGGTTCAGTTGCATTCGATACGTGGTCGGACTGGGGAGTGTCAGTCAGGAGCGTGCCAACCGTCTCAGTGATCTCGTGTGTGGTCGACTCATTCTTCACGGTAGTGGTTGTTTCGGTTGCAGGTGCAGGTGTGGATGAGTTGAGCAATACCTCAGTCGGTGTACTCCATTCATCCGTCGATTGTGTTGCTTCTGTGTCCGTTTGTTCCGGTGTGAATTCATCGGTTTCCACAGTGTCTGTCATGTTATCCGGTGGAAACTCGGTTGTCGTCGGGAGCGAACTGCTAGTCGGTTCAGTTGCATTCGATACGTGGTCGGACTGGGGAGTGTCAGTCAGGAGCGTGCCAACCGTCTCAGTGATCTCGTGTGTGGTCGACTCATTCTTCACGGTAGTGGTTGTTTCGGTTGCAGGTGCAGGTGTGGATGAGTTGAGCAATACCTCAGTCGGTGTACTCCATTCATCCGTCGATTGTGTTGCTTCTGTGTCCGTTTGTTCCGGTGTGAATTCATCGGTTTCCACAGTGTCTGTCATGTTATCCGGTGGAAACTCGGTTGTCGTCGGGAGCGAACTGCTAGTCGGTTCAGTTGCATTCGATACGTGGTCGGACTGGGGAGTGTCAGTCAGGAGCGTGCCAACCGTCTCAGTGATCTCGTGTGTGGTCGACTCATTCTTCACGGTAGTGGTTGTTTCGGTTGCAGGTGCAGGTGTGGATGAGTTGAGCAATACCTCAGTCGGTGTACTCCATTCATCCGTCGATTGTGTTGCTTCTGTGTCCGTTTGTTCCGGTGTGAATTCATCGGTTTCCACAGTGTCTGTCATGTTATCCGGTGGAAACTCGGTTGTCGTCGGGAGCGAACTGCTAGTCGGTTCAGTTGCATTCGATACGTGGTCGGACTGGGGAGTGTCAGTCAGGAGCGTGCCAACCGTCTCAGTGATCTCGTGTGTGGTCGACTCATTCTTCACGGTAGTGGTTGTTTCGGTTGCAGGTGCAGGTGTGGATGAGTTGAGCAATACCTCAGTCGGTGTACTCCATTCATCCGTCGATTGTGTTGCTTCTGTGTCCGTTTGTTCCGGTGTGAATTCATCGGTTTCCACAGTGTCTGTCATGTTATCCGGTGGAAACTCGGTTGTCGTCGGGAGCGAACTGCTAGTCGGTTCAGTTGCATTCGATACGTGGTCGGACTGGGGAGTGTCAGTCAGGAGCGTGCCAACCGTCTCAGTGATCTCGTGTGTGGTCGACTCATTCTTCACGGTAGTGGTTGTTTCGGTTGCAGGTGCAGGTGTGGATGAGTTGAGCAATACCTCAGTCGGTGTACTCCATTCATCCGTCGATTGTGTTGCTTCTGTGTCCGTTTGTTCCGGTGTGAATTCATCGGTTTCCACAGTGTCTGTCATGTTATCCGGTGGAAACTCGGTTGTCGTCGGGAGCGAACTGCTAGTCGGTTCAGTTGCATTCGATACGTGGTCGGACTGGGGAGTGTCAGTCAGGAGCGTGCCAACCGTCTCAGTGATCTCGTGTGTGGTCGACTCATTCTTCACGGTAGTGGTTGTTTCGGTTGCAGGTGCAGGTGTGGATGAGTTGAGCAATACCTCAGTCGGTGTGCTCCATTCATCCGTCGATTGTGTTGCTTCTGTGTCCGTTTGTTCCGGTGTGAATTCATCGGTTTCCACAGTGTCTGTCATGTTATCCGGTGGAAACTCGGTTGTTGTCGATGCCGAACGAATGGTTGTGTCTCTTCCTGGTATACCTTCAGTTTTGTGTGTTCTGTGGCGGTGAGTGTTTTCTGTTGTTATGATTTGAAATTCGTCTTCAGTGTCGTCTGTCATTTGATTTGTTTGCGAAGTGTATATCTGTGTTTTCATCGTTTCGCTTGCTTGAGATTTTTGCTCGGTGTTCTCTGTGGTGTTTTGGTGTGCGTCTGTATGCTTTTCCGTCGCATCTCTGCAGGTTGCTCGTTTTGTGTTTTCCTTCCAACCTGTTACTTTTTTTTGGAATATTTCCGTCAGAGTCCCTTTAATTTTAATCCATATTTTCATGGCCATTTCCAGGTACATATCATAATTCTTTGTGTGCTGCTTTCGCCAATTTCCGGTAGCTTGTTTTGGCTGTTGTCTTTCTTCATGTTTGTCTAAAAGTTTAAGACAAATTCTTCGTTAGAATTGATTGTTCTCTCTGGTAGTTACTCGCGCGGTCTTTGTCGCGGGCATTGTTATGTTTGGTTTTACTTGTGCTACTTGTCTCATCATTTTCGCCACTTATTTTATTTAGTAGGTTTTTCATGGTGTTATAGGAGGACGGTGTGTAGTAAACCAGTGGCGCGCTCCTCCACCAACCTGTACTTGCCTACTTATTCCCTCTCTGTTTGCACGAACCCATGCTTTTTATGCTAATCTAGGCGAATGCATGCGGAGCAAAGAAACATTCTTTCGAAAATCTGACCAAAGATTAATTAGGGCAGCTGACTGCTGGTTCATACAGGCCACAAGGAATGTAAAACAATTACTGTTAGCTAGCTGAACTTATGGATGGAATAAGCACCTTGTAGCAATCTCGTATACGTCCAGGTTATCTCTGTGACTCATTCGCTCTACGGTGGTCAGTCCCGCAAGTGAAGACCGATGGACTACTCTGCAACTAACACCAGAACATGTGCTGGAATGTTCAGAATAACAGACGGCGTGCCAAGCCATTAAATACGGAGCATCAGGTAAAGAGGACAACAGCCGTTTTTCTTACGCTTAGAATGTGTAGACGCGTAATACACTACTCATAATGTTGTTGGAGATTCGTCGAACTCCTAGAAACATCATGACCAAGACTGGGTTCCAGGTGAGCCTTCGGGTCAAAAGCAAACTGATATGCAAATGAGCGTTTATAACAAAATATTTTATTTAAGTCACAGACTGTTCCCTTCTCCTATTTGATCCAGACCAATGACCGTCTGAGTTGGCTCACTATTCACTTATATGAGCGATGTCGCTAGCCACACATGGGTGTTTCGGGATCATGTGAACACAGAAGACACAAAATGGTGTATGAAAGCATGAAACGCATTTTTGCGAACCCTCAGGAACTGAGATTTCTTGTGCTTATTTCTAATTTGTCTGAGCGGTATCTGAACGCTTACCAACAGCGGTGGAATGAATACAAACAAATCAACTTGACGGGTGGTTAACCGTGGGCGTGACAGTTTAAACTGCAAACAGACTGTGCTACTTACAAACTCATCAGTAGCATGCAGTTGCGCCGTAAGTAGCTGATAGCTGTTCGCATTTTTAGAAAACAATTTTTTTACTAGTGACAGATTTGTGTATTTCTCTTGCACGACAAACCGCTTCTATCAGACAGTGGTGTGCTACAGGAAGGAGGCTTCACAAATAAAGACCACTTAGCGAATTACAAAGTTCTTGCCCGTCATATCTTCTATGAGTAATATCTGGAAGCATACATGTATCTGCTCACTGTGTTCACATCTCCACTGAATACCCACTTTTTGTGAAGTATATTAGGGTATTGTACTACTCATAAGGTTGCTGAAAATCCATCGACAGCCCATGACCGGTTTCGCCCCTCTTGGGGCTTACCAGGTAGGCGCAGTCCCCGGGTTTCCGTCAACCTTATGTTCTACTTGAAACCAAATTGCACGAAATTAGCGAATATACACTCATCTGCAAACTAATTTGGTTCTTTCGAGAGACTCACCTGGAACTCAGCTGAATCTCTCGTTTATGATGTTCTCAGGGGACTGCGCTTACCTGATGAGCCCCAAGAAGGGCGAGACCGGTCGTGGGCTGTCGATGGATTCCCAGCAACCTTATGAGTAGTACATTACAAATATACATGTATCGCGATATTTCAAGTATCGTAGCGACTGAAACATGAGTCGGCCTGGTGCAGCACATTCAGTTGCCTTAGAACATCATAAACGATAGATTCAGCTGGGTTGCGGGTGAGTCTCTCGAAAAAACCAAATTAGTTTTCAGATGAGTGTGTATTCGCTACATTAAGGTATGTTTGCTCCTTCTGGTCATCACTGCCCATGTATGGATAACATAGTATTACTTCAAGACCATCTGGACGGTTGGTGTTTAGTATCCCTGCTTTGTTTACTGTGAGTGCAATTCAACCGTAGTTGCCATTTCAACTTCAAATACAGATTTATTCCTACTCCTTGGATTACAAACTTGATTTTGGATTGACATAAAGGTGTAAAGACATCGCCCATAAAAGTCAATGAATCCCATTTGGCTAGTGGAGCATGTCTTAAAGAGACAATCAGTCGGCGCGATCCAAACTTAAAGCAATTTCCGGAACAAGGACATCTTCTGGCGTATTGTCTTCGCCACACCCTTTTGTTATTGATCTGCCATGAAGTTTGACCTAATCTGGTGCGATGGCATGAAGGTGACTTGATAGATATGTATCCAAAAGGCTGTGTATTTTGTCAACCACGGATCGGTTAGGTTGACTATCTCCCTCTTCCACCTACAGCCCGTTCTCTCAGACCATCAGACATGTCCGGCATATACGTGGTCCTGTTTATCCAGAACCTTCTTTTTTTTCGGGCTAAAATGGCATGTAATTTTCGCTACTTGTCTAGGTACACCAACGAAGACTCTGTGGAACGTGGACTCGGAGGACCACCATTTGCCAAAGTTTCTTCCGCCAGTGGTGGGGTAAAACCGGATTGAACAGCTGTGCACTGAGGACATTATTTAATGCCAGTGGCCCATGAATCCACCAGAAGCACTGAACTTTACACTAAGGGAAGCACTGGGGGAAGCTACGCATTAAAAGTGATAGATTTGATAGGGAGATGCGAAAGTCTCTAACCATTTACAGATTCAGCCTCGAGGCCGTCATCCAGGGAGATGGCAATAACCGGAATAACTGGCTTTGCTGCTCTGGGCCTTCAAGTCTCTCTGCCAACTTCCCGGACTTTTTTTTCACTCGTCTCACGGTTGTGCGACTGGGGCTCAATCGTCTTGGAGAAGTCGATCACCGGTAAATTCCCTCCCAACATGTGGAGTGTGGTCAGCATGTCAGTCGGGTACAAACTCTTCCGTCCGAAAACTTTCGGTGCTCTTCACCATCACTGATCCCGTGTTGCCACCACTCTCGGGCAATACGCTGAGTACATCAATGGTCAAACACTGAGTTTCTTAGCCTCCTCAGCATACTCAATAACGGTGAGCAAATGCTTCCAGAAGATTTTGATATTTGAGGTCGGAAGCGCGTCTTCCATGACCGTATCAATGGCAAATTTGCGAAGAACAGGTGACAGTCTTCCCTAGATGTACTAAACCAAGACTACCACAGACCTTCAAAAGTTCAGAATTTTGAATTACAGTGTCTTAAGGAAATTCGAGAATGTATGGTAGACGCCGTTTGTTCACCGAAGGTGTCCGACCATCAGCAGAGTCAAAAGTCGCATTTAAGTTATTGGAAGCAGTGTTGGTGATCCAGTATCTGTTGGGAGAATAAATATGTAATCTTCACGTTCGCACCTCCTTCGTTTAAACAGGCCTTCTGCCCTGCCATTCATCTGAGTCCACACCAGAGGAGGGGAGCACTGGACTCGGGTTTCGCTCTTATTCTAGCACATCAGCAGTCCATATCTTTCGCCGTGTTGGGGTCTAAACTCCGCACATTTGGTGTGCGAGGCAAGCGTCTCATCACTCCTCTACCATACCATAATGGACTCATCTGAATTTTCACGTCTAACCAGGTGAAAATGTTCACGCTTGGGTAAATTGATTGGTTTGTCCGATGCCTCGAACGACGATCCAGTAACTATTTTGGTTCTGTTGATCGACTGCCTCGCCCGTCAAGACTTCCCAGTCAGGTAGCGCCACAAACAAATGAAACCTGTGGGAACAGATGGCTTCGTGGTTCATGTAGTAGTCATACTTTTGTCAGGACAGGATGACCACTGTTCAAACGAGGGTGATGGGAGCATGAATTCTACAAATGCCCCAAACACCTGCGACGAAATACGCACAGTTTAATGTACAAAGTTCTTTTCAGTCTGAGTTTTTGCGTTGAGTTGTGATACGAAGGGCATGATCAGGCAATAGACTGCCACAATCATAAGGTTAGTGTAACAGTGATTTTGACCTTTCTGATGTATGTTTTATCAACCAAGGCCTTGGCGTTCCCAACCTTCGACTCACAGGATATAACTAGTCCAGACCTGCTTTGGTTCTTATTACTATATCTAAGGGCTATGTCGCAGGAAGTTAGCTAACCTCTTCTACAGAGCGCTCGGTCCATGTTACAAATCAACGTTTTTGGACTTACTTACTGAACTGTGTTTCCCACTAACAGCCGCCTACATTCTAAGGTCGTATGAATCAGTTGTTAAAAGGACATTTAAGTACCATACAACTTATAATAATCACTGTCCCCCATGCGTCCAACAACAACCACTCCAAAGACAGCTTACTTACCCGTGATTCCGAAATGAAGCAATGCGGCCAACACAAACACCGTATGCAACCTCATCCTGGACACGAAATAGCAACGTGCGCGTGGAAACAAGCCAACAGGGAGGCTCTTATAGATTCGAGTTCCTTTGAAGTGCCAGATTTATGTGTAAAGAAACAGGCTCACTCGCAGTGCTCCGCTTTGCTACGCATTTGCATCATGCGTGACGTGAAAACGCTGCGCGCGACAGTCTCCTTTTTTTGCAGCCTATATCCGGTTGACTGTCTAATGTAACATTCTCCAGCTTGCATCTTCACAATTCGTGATAACAGAGTGTGTGACCTATTGCATACTGCATGTCAGAACAAGAGAGAGCAGAGGACAATTAAAAAAACCAGCGATCATCATGTGAAGTTATCGCTGCGGCATCAAAGTTACGTCGGTGAATACAGGAATACGCTGATGAGAGGTAATCAACTGGGAGGTTATTGTTGCTACTTTCGGGAGGTGGGTGGGTCTGTGGGTTTTCTAGTACCCAGTTGGGGGAACAACGAGTATCAAGACGGTTGCACATCAGACTGACAAAAGGATCAAAATCCAAAGGTATTCAGCAGAAGGAACTTTCTGA